TCTTTATTTGCCATTGAAAAACATGAAGGATCACATGCTGAAATATCTGTTTTGAGAGTAAAAATAGTTTTTGGTTTAAAAATTCCTTTCTTAGCACGAGTTTGCATAGGATGACAATTTTTAGGAGAGGATGCAGGTGGGGAAGGGTTCGGGCTCGGGCTAGGAGAGGTGTGACTGAGGATGTGGTCGGATGAGGCCTGTCGCGGGGAGGCTATGGGTTCGGCAGTAGGTATGGGGGTCTGCTGGTGGTGGTCTGGTGTGCTGCCGCGGGCAGGAGTGCTGGTGGCAGGTTGTTGGTGGGGTTCGGGTGTGTTGCCGCGGGCAGCAGTGGGTTGGTGCGCCGAGGTTTGCTGCTGATGATCGGACAAGGTTTGTGGCGGGAAACTGGAATGCAGAGGTGATGGCAGAGGGGTCTGAGAGTGGTGATAATCATGCAAACTCACCGAACTGCCGACGGACATTGTGGAAGTGTCCCTTTGACGTTCAGAAATTAAATCGGAATAAGGAAAATAATTTTCAAAAAACCGCACATTCCGATTTATATAGATCTTGTCAGTAATAGGATTAAAGCAACGATAACCTTTGTATTCAGGGGCATATCCTAGAAAAACACATAAGGTGGATCTAGGAGACAATTTATTGGCAGAAGTGGCATTGAAATTCGGAAAATAGGCACAACCAAACACACGCATAAAAGAGAAGTCGGGAGACTGGTGGAATAATTTTTCAAAAGGAGAGATGCCATTTAAATTTGGAGTAGGAAGCCGATTAATAATAAATGTGGCGGTAAACACAGCATCTACCCAAAAATGAGCATGCAATTTTGCGTCAAGGAGCATAGTGCGAGTTAATTCAAGTAAATGTCTGTGTTTGCGCTCAGCTACGCCATTTTGTTCACCCCCTCCATCACTTTGAAAAATTTTAATTCTAGCATCAAGTAAATTTTCCACCATGGATTTAAAGTTTTGAAAATGTCTTACTACTTCACTTTTATGACGCATGAGATAAAGCCAAGTAAACCGGGAAAAATCATCAATAAATAAAACATAATATTTGAAGCCACTGAAAGAAAGAACAGGAGATTGCCAAACATCAGAATGAATTAAAAACAAAGGAGCAGTAGATATATGCCACACTTCTTGAAAAGGTAATCGTTGTGATTTTCCTAATCGACAAGAAATACAATCATGAGAAAAATTAGAAGTACTAAGAACATTGCCAGATTTTTTTAATCTATCTAAAATACGACTTCCACAATGGCCCAAACGACGATGCCAGATTGGTCCGGGAGCAGCTTGTGAACTGAGAGCAACTGGGGATGGGTGATAGGGATAGGATAAACACCACCATTACTAGAAGCTTGGAGGAGCACCTTCCCCGAAATTGTGTCCTTAACACAGACAGAATTTTTATCAAAAATCACAAAACAATTATTATCGGCACACAATCGTTGGATAGAGAGAAGATTATATTTAAGATTAGGCACATGAAAAACCGATTTCAAATGGAGAGGCCGAGGCTTAGTAGCTAGATGCAAATTACCAGTAGTCATAACAGAAAGATTAGATCCATTAGCAACCGTAATTTTTAGTGGTCCAGAATAAATAGATTTATTATTCAAAATACCTTCATTTGGAGTCATGTGAGCGGAAGCACCGGAATCAGGATACCAAACAGCTGGAGTGGCTTCACCAGTAGAGACCGCTAAGGCTGGAGCTTGAGTTTGAACAAAACGAGACGGACACGCTACAACTGAATGACCTGGGGAGTGACAGATTTGACAGAAAACAGGTGGAGGGACTGAACCAAAACTATTCTCAAAAGAGGAGGATCCTGCAGAGGCATAGTTAGTACAAAAAGTAGAGAGAGCGGGAGTATAAAACGATGACTCAACTGTATTACAAAAAACTGTACCAGATCCCCAATTTTGCGGTTGATTTGCCCCTCGAGGATGTGCTGCCGGCCGAGAGGGACGGATCCAAAGACTGTTGGTAGCGTAAGCGTGCCTCTTGATGAACCAACTTCGTGCCTAATTTGTCAAAAGTGAGACCTTCAGGAAACAAGGTAAGGGGACCCACTAGTGATTCATAACCCGGCCCTAAGCCTAAAAGAGTATATTGAATAAGATCAGCATTGGAAACCGGGGAATTGATGGAGGCTAAATTGTCAGCAATGGTTTGAATGCCACGGACATATTCTTCCATGGACTGATTCTCCTTCTTCTTGGTGTGAGATAACATCTGCTTTAACTCCATGGATCGTGCCAGACTGGCAGCCATAAACCGAGACTCCAAACGTTGCCAGATTGCAAAAGAATTTTTCAAAGTGTGAACCTCCATCAAAATTTCCCTAGATAGGGTAGCAAAAAGCCAAACACGAACAGTTTGGTCCAATTTCAACCAATGATAATATTCAGGATTAATAGATTGAGCCTGAGATAAATCAATAAATCATAGGTGTATAGAGGCGGAGCAGGAAGGGATCCATCAAGAATGCCCAAAACACCATTAGCCACCAAAAAAGATTCGAACTGAGTACGCCATGGCAAATAATCCTCTACTTTGAGCAATTTTGAGGTCACAATTTGTGTAATTGAGGCCCCAAAAGTCATACCTTGAGCCAAAGTAGCAAACGAAACAGGTAGTGTATTGACTACGGGGTTGCGGCCGATTGTCCCTGAATTTGGCGGCAAGAAAAGCCCTGGGCTGCTGGAAAGAGTCGAACCAGCAAACCGGGCAGCGGCGGCCGCGCTGGACTCTCCGTGTGAGTCGGCCGAAAGCAGCGGCGACATCGTGAGGGACGGTGGAGTCGGAGTCCACGTGAAGATCGGCGGAATCCAGGCGGAGCTCAGCGACGTAGGCAGCACGTCATCGGAGATGAAGCTGACGGACGGCGGCTCGGACGCTGCTGGTCGTTGTCCCGCGCTCATGGTCAGCTGCTCGCTCGTCGTTGAAGAGTTGACGGCGGCAGTGGGCTCGGTGGCGGCGGCGGACAATACCGGGGAAGCCATTGGAACGAAAAAAAAATTTAAACTTCCTAAAACCCTAGAGCTCTTGATACCATGTGAAAATAATGGAAAGGCTTACCAATGTGGTAGCCCTAGGTGTCATATTCAATGTTCTAAAAGGCGCTAGGCGCTAGTCGGGCGCCAGCCCAGCGCCTAGCGCCTAGGCGGCTAGGCGGGCGCCTAGTTGGGGACTAGTCGGAAACATATAAATTGCATTTTTATCTATATTTTTGCATAAATATGATAAGTAATGTTGTATTTTGTGTGTATAAAATACATATATACATATACATTAACAAACATGAATGATAGAATGATCACATTTAATCATACGTAGTACGTAGTATATGATAACTAATCACTTAACTTCATTATGTTATAAATATAAATAATGATAAAAGTTAGGCATATATACAAACTATATAGTTTTATCTTAATTTACAACTTCATTTCTTTATATCCATGGATAAAGTTAAAGTACGCACATCACTTAAAAAATTAAAATTAAAAAGTGAAGTAATGTTCGGTGAATCTTGACAGCCTACGCGGCCGATTAGGCGCTCTAGGCGGGCAACTAGACGCCATAGGCGGCCGACTAATTCACCTAGACGGCAAACCAATTAGTCGGAGCGTCTAGACAAAAATCGGGGCGGCCGACCACCGCCTAGCGCCTAGGCGGGGACTAGTCGGGCGCCTAGAACGATTTTTAGAACAGAGGTCATATATATAATAAAACATGTCCTGAATACATTAGGAAACCTAATAAATATGGAAACCTAATTAATGGTATTAATTACACTATTAAGGAAGACTTGATTTGATCAGCAACTAAAAAAGGAAACTGTATTGAGCCGAAATTGTCGAAATCATCAGTTTTACCAGTCACCGAAAAGGAGATTTAGTTGAACGCTTTCATTTTCCCGGAGCGAGGAGGTGGTTCAGATGGAGGGCGAATAACGAAAGCCTCAAAACAACAAAGTTGAAAATGCTATGACAACCATGAACAAAGAAAACTCATCAGATCCATTACTTTGATGAGGAATCCACAGATCACTAGGAGAAAAACATATCACACTCTCACATGAAGCGGACATAACTCTCGACCAAATAAGATGCCGGATTAAGACCCCCGAACATAGAGATTAAACAAGGCTGGAAGCACAGAAGAGAACATCACCGTCTTCCAAAACTCTTGATGTTTGAAGAAGAGAAGACTTGAAAGTCAGAACTCGGAGAAGGTGGGAGATGGCTCTCCAGGGTTTCCCCTAGGGCCGGCCGTCATTCGTTCTAACTTCGAATTTGAAATTTACAAAAATTTTAAAAAATTAAAAGATAAGTGATTGTTTACAGTTCAAACTTCTAAAAATTGAGATTAAGTAATATGACTCCATAGAATGTAGAGGCTGAAATTCTAAATAAAGTGAGAAAACAAAACGTTATTTTTGTTGAAGATAAACAAACAGTTATTTAGTATAGTGTTCGTATTTTTTGAAAAACACACAAATAAGAATACCCACAATTTATTCATTTTTATACGTTAAACTATTTTCTTTGTGAAAACTCCTCTTCTTCCTCCTCTTCATCATTTTCCTCCTTCAAATTAAGATTGAAAGCTCAACACAAATCTACCAGTGGGAAATACTCAGGGCCGGCCATGGGGGTATTTTCCCTAGACAAGTGTCTAGGGCCCCCAAATTAGAAGGGCCTCCAATTTTTAAAATAAGCCTAATACTAATATATATGTGCATTTAATTTAAATCGCAGATTTTTAATTAAATATCAATTCCCATAGGAAAAAGTTGGATGACTATGACAAGTACCAACGGCGGTGAGTACCGTCTGGCAAGCGGCGAGTAGGAAAATTTATTAATAATTTTTCCTTTAATTAATTATTCAACAATTAGACCTCACACGCCAAGCCACAAATGGCAGTTCAACACTTCACACCTTTTTTTTATCATCAAATCCAACTAATATATTAAATCAAAATAACGTTCGTCACATGGCTGATAATACAATCAAGGAAAAAGAAGTAAACAAAACGATAAAAAGTCTTATGTCTGCCGTCCGCCCTTGAACCAGAATGAGAATCTATCACCTCTGTAGAAGCAATAATATTCGCTGATCCTGTAATGGGCTTAACCGAGCCAATGACTGACAAACCAGACTTCTCATCACCTATCCTAAATTCAAGAATTTATCTGCTAGGAAAAAAGAACACGTCTAAACAGGGGCGGAGCCAGGACACTGGGCCGTAATGGGCCGATACAAAGAATATTTTTTGAATTTTTTTTGCTCGGAATTTTTTACACTAAAAATAAAAGCATTTTTGAAATTTGGACAGGGCCAGGGCTAAGGTTGGCCTACCCCTATCTCCGCCTATGCGTCCAAAACAACATGCAATTCGACAGAAAAACACGAACTGAATAAAACGGAATTAAAATAGAGTTGTACTTGTCCTTGTACTTGTCCACAATCGCCATCTTCTTGTACTTGTTCACAAAGCTTTCCATGCAAAACTGTTGCTTTAACCTTCTGCCAGAACCTTGCCGCAGTTTGAAGCTCCTTCGATCTAGCCGCATCGAATCAACCGCCGCCCGTCTCAGCACCAAATCCATCGAAACAAACCCTCTTTGCGATCGAATCACTTCCCAAAGCCGAATTACTAAAAACAAACAAACGAGAATCCACAAAACGGTCGGAGAAACCCCAGCCCCACCCCTCGACTAAGTCGATGGCGGACGAAAAAACGCTAAGCGTTACCCGAAGGCAACCCTAGAGAGAGAGAGATTTCCAGCAGCCAAGCCGTTTAACACTTCGTACCTTTAAACACAGACCTTGTAATTCTTCTAACAATTTGATTTAGTTCATTTCATTAGATAGTGGATTACTTTTGTTAGATTGCACATTGTTGAGTTGTTTAGTTCTTTTTTTCAATTGTTAGTGCGGCTAGGGAGTAGGGTCTAATGATGTTTTCTTTTGCATTGGAATTTGCTGATCTGGTCTGGTCTGAACTGGTCTGGTAAACGTCTGGTCTCTGTGTATTTTATAACTACGGAAGTCTAGTCTGGTTTGATCTGGTCTGGGACTAAAAACCGCCCAAAAGAAAACATCCGAAGTATACTTGTATTGCAATTGTATTACGGTAAGTGCAATACAAGTATAAACAATCATCCATAAATCTCTTTATTTACTTAAACAACTCAATTACTCATTTAGTCATGTAAAATAAAAATTTGATTGTAATAAGTACTTGTGAATGTATTAAAACAACTACATAATAAGTATAATTAAAGTATTGAATTATACTTTATACTTTTCTCAAACACTCAATTACTCATTTAGGTGTACAAAATTTTTATGTAGTTAAATTGTGACATGTGAGTTTGATACTTTGATTAAAATATTGAATGTTTATAATCTTAGTATCATATTTATGATGAGCGGTTCGTTTTTATTTATGAAGCATTTACTTATTTACAATTCCCTCCGTCCCATTAAGATTGTCTAATTTTTCCTTTTAAGCCCGTCATACTAAGATTTCTCAACCAAAATTGATAAAATTTGTGTGATTTTAAGTCATTTTACTTTTTTCTAACTTTATCAATTTGATCAATATCAACCATATCAACGCACCTTTTTAATAAACACACATACTTCTCATGTCTCATGATTAGTAGGACGGGTTTAGTATTATTTTGAATAAACTTGTAGGTTTTGTGGTGATGGAAAAAACAAAAACATGATTCAGGGACACAGGGTGTACAAAGAGAAGAACAAATTATGTCACAAATGACTTGATTATAAAATCGTTTGTCGGCTCTATGGATCTATATGTATTAAGAAACAAATCGTCTTTATGATTGCCTAGGGCCCTCACAATTGCTCTAGACGACCCTAGAAATACTACCAATACTAAGTGTGGGTGAATCTTATATAACATCTGTAAACTACCATATCTGTAACATAGATCCATCCCTGGCGGACCCCTGTATTTACCTCTGGGGTTGGGCTTGGACTCGGGCTGGGCCGGGCCTGGGTCGGGCCTAGACCCGACGGGCTTTTGAAGGTTGGGGTGAAGACCCGGGACCGGCCCCGGGTTACCACCGGTTCCGGGCCGGGCCGGGTCCGGTTCTATTTTTTTTATTTGTTTTTTTTATTTAATAAGTAAAAGTAAATGTAGTTGTAACATTTACTATAAACAATTCCCGTTTATGAAAAAGTGAAGTTTATTTGGAGACATCCTAATAAGAAAAGTGAAAAATTCTTTTTAAAACAAAGATAAGATACTTTTGAGTCCTTGCATATCTTATCAACCTTTTCTACATAAGATACTTTTGTCCTTGGACTAGTCATTCAGAAAACACAATATTGTTTCTAGGGTTGCTAGATTTAGTTTTACAGCATGAATGATTAGTTTGGCACACAAACTATATTAAAAGATTATGTACCTCTCATTGTGCTAATTATTTAGAAAAATGAGTTTCCAAATTCTTGTTAATTAAGGAAACGGCCCCGAAATTGCAATTCTGCACTTACCATTACATACTTGTTCTTGTTTCTTAAGCTATGCCTAATATCGAACCAGGCTTTCTTCAATCGGTTGAACATGACTCTTCTTTCTTAGCCTGAAGCCGATTCACAATCAATTTCGGTGAGAATAGTAGAAAAGTATTCCTGTGATCCGGGCTAGTGAGCAAGTTGAATCCATCCTTCTAAAGCCGGCATAATAGCCTAAGGGCTGACCTGGCACAAAACACACCGGTGAGTTCTTTCGTTTGACGAAAGGAACCAGGAAGATCTTAGTTGCTATTTGTATTTCATTTTTTGGGTCAAATTAGGAAGCTGGACTAAACCTGGAGCAAATGTGGCTACGCAATAAGTTATAATTCTTTGGTGAAAATTGAACTTGAATGTCATACAAACCGCTAAGGCCATTGCTCCATTGAGGAAGAAGATATAATTTACTGTTAAAACACAACTACACAAGTAATAAACATCACTGTTTCAGCCATGAATTGTTTTTTTAATAAACAAAAGTTATAAAACAAAACACTGAACTATTTAGCACTGAACTATTTTATGGCTACTAAACCTGGAGCAAATGGGTGTACAGAAGTACACAACACTCGCTGCTTCAAAACTCACTACTTGGACAAGTTCTGTACTCCTATCAGTTTTTAATTAAAGAACTACATAGTGTGATTCTACGAAGAGTTACAACACATGTTTTCTCTTCTCCTGTAAAATAAAAACAAATAGAGCAATTCTTGGTGTATACAGAGAGTGTACACTTCACACACTCGCTTATGCACAGACATTCCTGACTTTTTAAAATGAGCTGCACAAGCAAAGTAGGGGGGTGTACATAAAAAGTGTGCACACCTAGTTTTTTTCAAACAAAATTTGAAACTAACTTATATTCATATCAATTTTATTGGCAGTTTCCAAAATGAACATTATTAATACTTAAATGTGATCAATCTTCTAGTTCATTATTCAATCAATAACCCATATCATATACAACTACATTTTAAACAAATAAACCAAAAAAAAAAAAGATCTAGCATGTTTAATGAACAGCAGTACCTAATATAGAGCCCTTGCAAATCAGTTCAGCACAATAAACCCATACTTGCTACTTGCTAGCATGTCTGAGCTAGCAACACTTTTTATAAAGATGTACTACCTCCGTCCCTTAAAACTTTGCCAAGTTTGACCTGCACGGGGATTAATAAAGTAAAAGCTATGTGGTTGAGAATTGTGCAGAGGAGAGAGAATTAACTGGAACCACAAATTATTTACTTAGGAAAAGTGGCAAAGTTAACGGACATCCAAAAAAGGAAAGTTGGCAAGATTTTAAGGGACGGAGGGAGTAGTAAATTGATTTTCATACCAAGAATTTAAGCAGCTAAGTTGCATAGTAAGGGACTAAGGGCAGTAGGCATTATCGGCAGGCAGCAAATTTATGTCCATAGGAATTCAGGAGCAAAAGAGCCTGGAAAACAAGTAACCATGGCAGCCCTGCACAGTGTCGATCAATGGACAAGTCTGGCACGCATCTTCCACAGGACGGCCCATCCATTTTCTGGACAAATCATCGGAGATTAAAGCAATCTGGTGTTGCAAAACTGCTGCACCCAGGGGTCCCACAAGATTCAACCTTGTTGCAGCAGACACCAAATCTCTCATTGTTATGTACATGTAGCCCTTTTGAGAAGCTTCTGGATCCATTCCGAGAAGCCCGCAAACCATACCGAAGATCGGCGCCTGGTGGAATCTCACATTTCCGCTACACAGAGAGGTGTCTCTCATCGCTTTGAGAATCGGGAGTTCCGAGAAAACCGCAGAGGCAACTCTCATGAGTGCAGATCCTTGCGAAATTGACGCCTTTCGGCTCACATCGTTCGTTAGCGTGGCCTCCAGCGTCCGATCAAGCTTGTGCCAGGTTTCCATGTCCGGAGAAATAGTTGCAGAGTAAACGAAAGGGAGAAGAAGACTCGCGGTGTTTTCGAGAACATGGATCACATACGTTTTCAGATCTTCAGGTCCCGTCACTAGACGCGCTTGAATTGCTGCCTCTAGCCCAAAAGAATGAGCGAATCCGCCCGTTGGAAGAACGGAATCAAGCAATTGCCACTGGCTCCACATGTGAGCTACGTTTCTGCTTCTATCTCCATAGGTTCTCGCCGCTCCATCTTCCATTGCTAATTACTAAATCTCACCCGCCCGTTGTGCGGATAAAAATTTACCATGTGATTAAGAAGTCAATTATGAAAATCTAAAAAATAATTGAACTGAGGAAAAAGTGATAAGAAATATAGAGTATAATAAGTGTTTATAGTTGAAGACAGAAAAATGTAAATATAGAGATAATGCTTGAAACTACAAAGTGATGAGTAAAATAGTAAATGTTCATAGTGAAAATATTAGAGATTCCTTCGATTGCAATTCATCTTGTGCATTTTGAAGAACTGTAGCTGATTCCCACAAGTCGAGAAGGATGCTGACTATTGACTCTATCATCAACGTTTTCTGCAGAATAAGGAAAAAGACAATTCATTAACTTTTTCTAAAAATAATATATACTTATATACATTTCTTTGGAAGATATATACATAAATCCAATTTTGATATATATCTTTCATTAGATAAATCCAATTTTATTGGGGAATTGCCTTAGGCAATTCCCCAATAAAAGGAACTCAACCACTCAAAAAAATTATTACATTCATAATTCATATTTCATAATTAGAAGTAATAATGAATTATTAAAATATTTGAACAAAAAATAACAATTACGTAGTACTAATAAAATAAACCAATGATTAATAACAAAATCAAAAAATAATTAAAGAATTTGATACCTATCTTAAACCCATTAACTAAAATATTAATAACTAAACCCACCCAACTCAACACAATTAATTAATTAAATAAAAGTAATAATAAGTAAAGCTACCCAACCCAACAACCCAACACAGTACTAATTGGTAAGCTACCTGACCCAGCCCATAAAAAACTAAACCTACCCAAATGACCGCCGAACTATATAGGGGCGGGCGAGAATCCCGGTCCCGTTGTCCCATTCTGGTATATCCCGAAACCGTACCGGTGTTGTCCCGTTCCATTTGGGTCTCATTGATTTTGTCCCGCACCGGTTTAAAACGGGACGGGACCGGGACATTGGAAGGTTATCCCGAACCGTCCCGTTGTCCCGTTTGTAATAACTATATAGATTTTGTAGCATGTGACTAGTTTGTAATGTCAACTCAAAAAATAAATGATAACATGTTTTTAGTTTTTCAAGCCCAATTTTTAAATTAAAAATAATACCTAACATATATATTTACTAACATAGGTTTTTATCTCACTTTATATTTCTACATATGAGTATCTCTTCACTAGAACACATGATTTTGAATAAACTAATTTATTTTTCCTTTGTTTTAAATTTAAATTTCAAATTTTGCTAAACCTAACTAAAATCCAATACGTAGTAGCTTTTAGCCTGTGATGAACGTCAATTAACTTTTAAAATGTTAATATTTTGGTGCATGATACTTTAGAAATGCAAATATATATACTAATTACAAATGATTATTTTTTTTTGTTTGGGACGTCTCGAACCGTCCCGACCCATGCCCACCCCTAGAACTATATAACCCCCATCTATCCCTTCTAAACACTTCACAACTAATGGAGACTCATCATTTGAAAGCTTAGACCGATGGTCTCTGGACCTTTTCACGTACTCCGTGATTAAACTTTTCCGGCCGCCGGCTAAAAAGGTTGGTCGGTTGCTTAGATGTCATGTTCAGCGCGATTGTAACCGTCCGACAACTACAAATCCTTGGCTCCTAGTCTCCTACGTCCAGTCTTTGTTTGGTGAATGTAAAGATGTGTCCCTTGGTGAATATTTAGATAGCCTATAAGATGACCTTTTGTATTTTTACGAAAACCAAATAACCAATTCTAACAAAAAATGGAACAAAGAACCGAACTTTATCATCAAACCATTGTTAACACAGGAAGCTCACACTCCAAAGATTAGAGCAACCGCTTATGCAATTTAAAAGAATAACACATCCTGCTTTATGACCATTTTAATGCCTTTGCGTATATATAATAAAACCTACTATAAAATTCTTAAGCAATCAGGTATATTTGCTGTAGTTATCTTTATTATGATGAATGGAATGAGACCTGAGGTAAATATATGAATTCCAATTAACCCATTCACATAAGAAATATTTAAAGTAAATCTGATAGATTTAGGTCTACCTTAATGAAATGAATAAACTGCCTTTAATTCTTTGAGGTAATAATAGTAGTAGATAGTTGTAACATGTACTTCTCTAAAAGTTTTTTTCCTTGTAATTTCTTCCAGTCGACATCTTCTAACTCTACTAAAAAACAAAATCGATTAAGTGATGAGGCAAGTGGATTAACCATAAAAAATTGATTCGAGTTAGATGATCAAAGGATTCAAAATTACTACCTACCTTGTAATAATAAATTGTCTTATATCGCGATTGCATTTGAGTTTAAGAGAATTAGTTTCTTGGATGTAGAACCATATCCAAGATTAGTTAAATAACCTTAGGCTAGCTTTCAGTTGTATGTAACATGTCAATCTTATCCTCAGAAACTTTATCATTCAAGGAAGCACTAATAGTATCTCAAAGTCTGGGCGCAGAGGCTGCTACTGGCAGCATACCTCCAGCTACCGCCAGTTTTACAGTGATTCAAGATCTTCACTTCAGCTCCCAGCTTTCTGCATAGCAGTAGAAATGATAAGCACCTTAAATACACAAAAGTCAAAGACTGTTCTATTTATGAAAATGAAGTTTACCTATCCAATGCTAGGAGGAAGAAACAGGATATAAAAAAACTAAAATATCTAAACAATAAATAATGTCTAGAAGAAAAGTTAACAAACACCACTCCCTCACTTTGCATACCATCACTACTAAAGAAGCACGAAGGAAGGATTAGCTGTTGGGGGTCTCCAAATCAAATTGTATGGCTGTAATATGAAATTGCTATACCAAAGGCACTCTTGTTCGCTAAATGATACGGACTATTAAAAAGATTAGTTGTGTTGTCCAGCTAAAGAGCAATGTGAAGTAGTAAACAATAAAGTGATAAGGATACATCAAATAAATCCTGGAATAAAGAAACTAAAAGTCGCTTAAAATTTTGAAAATACTCAGGATGTAATTAATATAACTGACACTACTACATTTTCAGGTCCAATGTAACAAAAAAATGTAACATTTGTCTAAAGTGTTACAAAAAACGAGTCTAATGTAATAGTTTTTAACACGTTGTTACATCTATATCAAAAGTGTTGCATTTACTATAGTGCTATTGTAACGCTAGTATACTATTTAATAAACAGTTACATTTGCTCAATCGGTGTTACCTTTGATGGACACTAATGTAACACGTGTAAAGTGGGAAAAATAGCGCTATATTTTTATTAAAATTTCAGCCTAACTAAATTTAATTTATACCGATTAGCTTTGAAAAGTGGGATAGACTAAGAGCCCGTTTGGTAACACGAAAATCGACTGATTTGGCTGATTCTGCTGAAATTTATGAAGTTCTGGCTGAAGTAGCTGCATTGGCTGATTTGGCTGATTTAAGAAAAAAATATTTTTAAACTATATTTTATTAATAAAATAAGGAAAAAAATATGTAAAAATAGCTAAAATGGTCGTCTACAATAACTTCAGCCAATACAACCAGAAAAGTAACTCCAACCTTAATTTTTCTTCTTATTACACAATTTAGCGCGCGAAAGCAAAAATTATGTGTTTGGGGTGAAAAAGTTGGCTGATAAGTCTAATAAGCCTAAAATCAATGCTGCCAAACTGCCTCTAATTAATTTAAAAAGTTTAGAGCTATGACTCGGGCTTATTACCGCTTGTAGATCTGGTTAGATATTATAGGGTTTGCTAGTCTTCCACTGAAGACGCCCAACGATATGCAATGAAGTCTAGGAGACCGGCGTTGCGCCATGGCTGCCCACTCTCAAAGCTCTCATTCTGGTTGAAGACAGTTATGCTTTTCCCAAACCATCTAAATCCGAAAATGAATCACAACTCACAAGATATAGACGCACATGTGATTGAACAGTACAACGGCGGGAGATGAAAAATGAGCCGAGCCTCCCTGGTAATCTTATTTTGCATAATTTTCTGTCCATTTTGTTTCATTTTCCTTGTTCATGCCATTCCCTTTTCTTTTCACAAATTTAATCTGATTGCCTATTAATTGGGAGTTCCAATAACCCTATCATAGTTCAACGGTCTCGACCTTGAAGAGTTGAAGCTTTTACAAGATCTAACTGGACCTAATTTGGCATTAAGTAGGTGCAGGCTAACTAACACTCTCCTTGAGACACCTGAGCTTGTAGCAGTACCTAATTCTTCGTCCTTGGGCCTAGAGTTAGAGTTTCTTCTTTTACTTGATTTTCTCTTCAATTGTCTATTTTGATGCCAAATTCATTGCATCTTCATTTAGATAATATGAAAAGTAAAAAAAAAAACTAGAAATATTTGGAATCCTTCCACCTAACTATCTAAAAATTCTGAAGCACTCTAGGTGTTTGTGATTTTGTCTTAGTGAATGTTTGTTTATTTTTCTTTTCCTCAGTTAACTTCCACCATGTGAATGCGCACAATTGTGACACTCTGGCTCCGGTGTCTACTCTTTGGAAAACATAAACCTATGCCTCTGGAATTAGTGTAACATAGGCAGCCATCCCCTTAGAAAGGCATTATGACCATACATTATAGCAAGAAATTACTTTGAAAAAATGGTAGCATACTCTCTTTTCCCTCTTTGTGGAACCGAATCTGAATTTTAAGTAAATATGAATAAATGGGCCATTGTGTCCAATATTGCTGCATTGCTTCAATTATAGTTTTTATATTTTTTTATTTTTGCATTCTGAAAATGTGGTTTACATTTGATCTGGAATGGTTTATATTCTGAAAATGTGGTTTATGTTCTAGAATCTAGAATTGCTTCAATTATAAGGAAACTAAGGCTCTTACTTTCCTTAGTTTGTATTATTAAATATTCCTCATGGTTTTAATTATAATTGTAATAATAATTCTTATCCCGTCTTTATAATTTTATAGACACATTGTTCCTCTGATTCCTGCTTTCGGGAGCAGTGATACAATTCCTGCACCTAGTGCTATAGTTTTCCCTATCG